TTATAATGCATTATTACCGTGGAAATTAGAAACAGGTGTTTTCTCAAAAGCAAAATGATATGTTGAATGGTATAATGAAAGATAAGATGAAGCTGAGAAATAACTGTATACATACATATGTATGTAGGTATCTCTCATTTTTCCCCGAAACACCTAACCGAAAGAGCTGTTTTCTTTTCAAGTTTCCAAAACTCATTAGTTATTGTGGTGATCCCCAAGCTCGCAGCAAGAGTAAAACTTTATTGAAATACGCACACCATAGTTCCCGTTCCTCTTTCGTATCAGCTGAAAGAAGGTATCGCACGATTGTAGTCCGCCCATTTGGAATGATAATTAGCGACTCCTCATCATTCTCTCTCGCCGGTCTCTCAAACTCAAGCAACATAGTGTTAAGGCGTGCGCATATATCACGTGGTGCAACAGTTACTTTCTGCGTGCGACAAGCGTACAGATCAATTGAGCCGATAGGCGCCTTTTTGCGCTCATCATCGGGATACTTCCAATAATTAAGTACGCTTCCATTCAAATAGCACCAGCGACGATGCCAGGCACCAAATCCAGACATGTCTTCGAACATGGTTAGAAAGCCGTGATGTTCGACCAAAACCGATAATTCACAGTTCGCTTTCATATGCACTACGCCTTCTAGAGGGCTAACCCCGAGAACCTGTGTCAACAAAGCAAGAAAAGTAAATTACTTCGAATAGTAGATGATTGAATAAAATATACCTGTGTTAGTGTCCAAGATGTGCGTTGTATCTCGCGTAAGGAAAATATAGCAAAGCCATACTGCACTAAGGCAGGAGTACGCACGACATTCGGCCCAGCTGGACTTTGTACAGGAGGCATAACTAAACGGTTTTCACTGCCTTTCTTTTTAGGCGTTTTGATACCAGATTTTTTATTAAGATTTATATGATATTTCACCTCGTGTGGCAAAACTTCACGCTGGGCGGTCATGCCGTAAATCTCGAGTGTAATCTAGAGGTAAAGTAAAAGAGCAACAAGATATTTGGGTAAGTAAATTATCTCGTTCCTAAAATTGTTCATTAACAATGTGACACGACAACACAAAGAACTCTTGCAAAACCAAACTTAAATACTTCATCCGCGGCCAAATGGTAGTGGAGCTTAAATTTAAACTTTAAAAACAAGAGTATTTCTTAAAGGTTTAGTCGAACTTTTATTTAAATTTGTGATCTGGTTCTAACACAAATGAAGGGAGCTATAATTTGAGACCACATCCGAAAGGCAAATGGTTTCAAAAGAGGTACAATTCAAAAAGCCGGTCCAAAAATATAACTGCTTGGGCTCGTACAGATTCGACACAATTAATACAAAAAATAATTGCAATAATTGGAGATATTTCCATGCGAATCTACCTAAATTTTCTGTGAGTTGTACACTCTGACGTTTGTCATAGCGTGTCAGGGGTGACCGCTTAAAAAATTGATTAAATGACGAGGAAGTTTCTAGTTTAGTCAGAGATTCATATGTTTCTTTTAAAATTTAATAAGTTGTTTAAGGTTTGTCAGCGTTTGACACATCAGTGTAAATTTTTAACTGTTGTCCGTTATTCAATTACATTTCTCTGAAATTGCAATTGGTAATGAATTCCTTCAGTCCCCACTAAAGGAATTTGTTTTCTTTTTCAAATTCCTTATGCTGACTACAAACGAGGCAACCATTGAAGCAACCAATGCATATTGCTTCGCCCGTTGCCTCGTATGTGGCATTGTTGTTCATTGAAATTCGTGATTCCGCAACCTGCGCCCGAAAATCAAATTATTGGTATACATGGAACCGCGTAAATACCTTATAACCGGGTAAACCTCATAAATAAACCGATTTTCTACACAAAATTAAGTAAGTTTACGAGGTTTACATGGTTAACATGGTTACGAGGCATTTGGGCGTTTAGATGAATTACTCTGTTATTTTGATATTTTGTGTTTGTTGCCGAGTCGGTTGCCTCGTGGTGTCCTGATTTTATTGGCTTAGTTCGTTGAAAACAAGTTACCTGAAAAGGGGTTTTTGTAGAAAACAAAATTTTTTTTCTGCACGTTCATTTCAGAACAGAACACATTCTACTGAAGTTGCCGTAATAGTTGCCTCGTGTGTATTGAACAAGAAAATCAGGTTGCCTAAACACGTTGGCTAAACAGTTGCACACTGTGTAGTCATTATTAGAAATATGTAATTTCAAAAGTATTTTTTTTTAGGGAATTGTATTTTGTAATTGGAATTAATTATGTATGTGCTGATAGTGTGATTTTTTTCAATTTCTTTAAAAGGAATTGAAAATGTAATAAGTAATGGAATGGCAGGAGTACTTTAGATTTTTCATTTCTCAAAGGAATTGTAAAAGTAATTGAGAAACTAAAGTTCATTCAAGAAAGTTCTACAAAAATTGTATGTAGATATTATATAGTTTGCTGGACGTAACGGTAAAGTCAGAAATATTAACATTCTCTATAAAACAGATCTATAAAAATAATTTGACTGGTTTTACTCCGCTTATGCTCATGTATGCGACTTCAAAATCTGACTGAAAAAGACTGAGCTCAAAACAAATAAAAAAGGTTTGCAATGGAGAGAAAATTCCCACAAGTTCGAGAACAAATTTTGGAAGCCATGAATCGCATATTCGCATGGATGCAAGCGGCAAGGACATCTGTAAGTTTATCGTTAAACAATCTCTTCCACTGTGGATGTAATAAAACAACAATAACGACCTTTGGAAGAAATGACCGCTTGATATTACAACTTAAATAACTGCAGTGAGCGTACTCACAGGTATCATATCTGGGAGATTTTAGTCCCAGTTCCAAAGCCTGCCTACGATACTTTCTCATGAGTACAACTATTGCCAGCTGGGGTTGATGGCAAAAATCTACGAAAAATAAAGTTGCCCTTGAAGCAGCTTATTTAACCGAATGCAC